ATTGCGTTTTGTGAATTAGAATTTTGTATGCGTATATTTGTATGTATATCTTTATAGGACATTAATCGAGAGCAATTCTATGGCGTAAATAATGATGCCAATTTGTTCATTCATTCGTCTTTATTTAATTAATTACATATATGTCTTTTTTATATCAAATAGGTTTTTATGGCTCATAAAGTTGTGCTTTCATACGCTTATGAGCAACCAACCGGGAGTATGTTTTATATTTTAGTATTAACGTTCATTAATGACAGCGCAAACGTCTTAACTGAACGACTTAAATGCATATCAGTAGTAAGGTATCCAAAAGTCCGGGTTTTTAAATCTCTGATACTCTTGACTTGTAATAAGTGGTGGTGGATACGAGACCAAATGCAATACCATGTATGAGGTGGCACAAAAAAAAATATTTTGGTTACGCGTTCTCAATGCTTCCCCACCTCACAAATTTAATAATGAATATTTACTTACAGTAGAAGGTCATATTTAGTAAGTAAAAGTTTAGCTGAAAATAAGCCTCTTTTCTTTTTTGTGAAATTTCCGGACTAACTTATACGGGGTATTACATTTGTCAGATACGAGGTATTGCGCTATTAAGTAGTTCAGTGAAATGGAAATCATAAACTCGCAGCCTCAAGTAAATTTTCCGGCTATGGGCCTTATGCCGAATTTCCACTAGGCATTAAAATTACAAAAAATTGAAGGCCATGTAGAAATTAATTTAATGACTAATTTTTGACGTAATGACACGAATATTTTTCAATGCCCAACTCTGTCAATGCAATTTTTGCCATTTAATGCCAAGTGGAAATCTAGCATTATACATTTGCTTCACATACAATATAGTTTGGTATTGTTTGGGCTGCATCCGATGGTGCGTTTAGCGCTGAAACAGCATTGCACAAACTTGCAATATATGTACATATGTTATGCCTCCAGCTAGAAAAACATTAGCCAAGCACGTGCTACATATGAATCTTGCAGGCAGCGAATGTCTGGACAGATTGACTAATACCAAATATTTAGAAATGAATATCGCAACCCACGACGAAATAAACTTATACTTAACTTAAGTGTCAACAAGACTACGGCTACTTCAGATCGTACCTTAAATGTTCTCAGCACGAAGAGCTCGACCAGGGTGAATTGAGGCTATTGAAAAGCTCGAATTTGTTTTAATATACAGCACACAATTCGATGCAAATATTTAGAAACTACATTAGCTTCGTGTTTAGAGAATATCTCAGCAGAGAATATACATAGTTGAAGGCAGCATCAATTGCTTGGTTATCAGAGAATGACCAAAAAGTCCAATATTGCTCTCCACTAATAATGGGCCGACAGTCGATCGTCCAGTGAAGGTCTTTGTTGATTTTGGAAAGGATATGAATGTACCTAATAAGCCAACCAAATATCCTTCCATTTTTTAAGCTCAGTTTCATGCAACACGGGTAAAAATATGTAAAAAAGAATGTCTCAGAAGAGGCACAGCTTCGAAATGCATCAGTGTTTTAACAAAATAAAATCAATGCTGATATATGTATGATTTAAACCCTCTTGGAGCCAGGAACACAGTATTACTGGAATGGATACCGGAGCATGCAAGGCATGATGGCAACGAATAGGCGAATCCGCAGGGAGCTACAGTACCTTAGCGGTTTATCTGGTCATTAGACTGGGTCGCAAAAAAAAGTTTACATTTACGACCTCCCTATTTCGAAAGCTGAGAGGAATTAAGTGTCATAAAAAGGAGTCCTAAAAACAGCCAAAATCGAAATATCTTCTTAACCTTTTTATTTCTCGATTTCAAGATATTTTTGAGTACTAAAAGGGTATATGCCCTTTTAACGACCCGTCGATCAAGACTAACTCATACCCCTACTCATTTAAAATAACTCAATTTCAAAGCCACTAAATGGAACTCTATTTTTAACAAAATTAATAACTTGTAACTATTTTATTTTTTGTGGGGACCTACTAGACTCTACTGTCCATCTAAAAATATGCTTAGCAATGTTCATAGAAAGCAAACGAAAGGTTTTCAAATAAGAGCAATATAGATTATTTAAAAATGGCTACCAAGGGAAATGTATTTAGATTGGAAAGTTTAAGGTATGTAATTTCATAAAACACTTCTGAAAAAATGCAATATCCACCCTAATGCACTTTCTCTATCATAAACTTTTGCATAGGCTCTATTTGAAATGGCTCGTACATTATACGCTCTCTCAACGTCTGCACAGACACAGTGAAAAAACAATATCCCCATATCACTTATTCGCTTGCCTATACATACATACTTATTTATGTATGAGTACTCGTACAAACACATACATATGTAGATAAATAAATTGGCATAAAATACATACATATGTATACAGCAATATCGCGTACATCGAACTCACCTGAAATACCGTTAGCGGCATGTGAAATTCTGCACCGCCCGTGATTAGGAAACCCCATTTGGGATCATCTTTGGCCGCATAAGCATCTGAGTCAACATCAAAGGCGGGAAATCCGTCCGTATCACCGATGCCGCAAGAGACTTTTATGATTGCCGCCTTCTTGGGCGGTTCCGGTGTATAAACGAAAGGGAAGATGGACTTGGCTTCAGGCATTGTTGCTGTTGCTCTGTTGCTTTTGCTTCTGTTGCTGGCTTTTGTTATTGCTACACGATTAAATATGCAAATTTTCTTTCACAATTCACTGCACACGGTTTATGCGCGTATTTATTTATTTATGTATTTATGTATATCGGTTGTACTGCACACTTGATTCTTTAACTCTTTGATGTATTCTGTTTTTTTCGATCTCATTTATTTCAACTCCTTATTTGATTGTTTTCCTTGTTGTCATTTACCTTGGCCCAAGCACTTTATGGTTTCCTTTTAACTCAGCAATACAATTGTTCTTACATGCAAACATACATACGTATAAGTATATCTGATTTTTATTGCTTATTTCTCATTACTTTGCTTTGGTCTTTACTTGCTATTTCACTATTTACCGGTTTTTCTTTTGAACAAAAAAAAAAGTAAGAGCGGAAAATAAATGCTAAATGAGTGTATCTTATTTACACCTCCAAATCGTATCCTCTATAGTACATATGTGTGTGTGTGTGTGTGTTATTTTATGCTTAAGAGCACTATGACTACGTAATTTCGAAAGCTTTTCAATTGATCAATATTGGATGATAAAATCCACTGTGTTATAAATAAAACATAGAATTGAGTGTATACGCAATTTGAGTGTAAAATATACGCTCACAGTTGCATCGACTCACGCGCTCATTTTGAGGGGGAGAATGTGCAAATAAATGTTTTATTTTTTATGTGGTTTTAGGATGCTGTGCATTTAATTAGAAACGAATACTTTCTCATAAAAATATTTAATGAAATGATATGCCTATGAATAATAAATGCGGTGTGTGATAGCTATAAGATTGAGTCGGAGTGGAGAAGTCAAAGAGCGAAGATGGGATTTTTTTTTTTTTTTTTTTTTTTGCTTAACACTAACAAAGAGTAAATTATCTTTAAATACTTTAACTCAGGCAAATCGATAGTTAATTGTGCCAAGCTGATGCAATTTATTACATTCCGCATCAAAGCAGGAACCAGCTATGGATCTTTGACTTTGTCTATATTTTACCATGAAAGATAGATTACGAATATTTCGTTTTAAAATGTCTTATTGAAGAACTCAGAATAGAGGGATTCACTCGAAGAGATTACTTCCAACGTCATTTTTTCTACAGCCAAATTTGTTTAATGTGAGTCCAAATGTTGTTGTTGCCATTTGAGGCCAGTCATCACGTCACACAATGATTGGTAATCCAGAAAGCTGTTCAACAAAAATGCCGATTTTTAAATTTTTGACATTCATAAAACTCCAAGAGCCGGCTCATCAGATATTTTCATTGTCCATGCACAAATAAATTCAAATTTTGGCCAGTTTTTTTTTTTGGGTTTTTTTCGACCACTATATTAAATAAAATTGCATGTCCTCCATTTGTGTTTTATAACATAAAGATGCACACTACAAATAGGAGGAGAAGCTCGGCCCAACATATAAGTTGGCTGTCATTTATTTGCACTTAGTTGCTGTGTACTTTCATGTATGCATATGTAGAGTATATTTTAAAACAAACTACTTTTCTGCGCTATACTTTGCCTAAATATCGCATATGTATTCACATAAATTGTAGTGCACATGTACGCCTGTATTTATTTGCCCTCATTTGCTGTGTACAACAAACTCTGCTGGCCACTGAGCGGCCGAGTACAAATTTGCTTTTCTAAACACTTTGCAAATTGCTACATAAACGCATGCAAACAGCCAACTAACAGGGTTCAACGTACATACATACATACATATGTGTGTGTGTGTGTGGGTTTGTGCTTTTTCAGGTATGCACTTTCGCTGCAACATTGTTGCAAGTCGCACTCGAACATGCAACCGTGGGCGTGACGTTGCACAACAGCGTCGTTGCCACAGAATATGAGTGTGCTCAATTTTTGCATAAACGATTCAAAAACAACAACAAGTGAAACTACAAGAACATCGCTTTTCATAAGAGGAAATAAATTTTGAGCGATTTTCACGTGCAACCGGCCTGCATGCGGAACTAGTTATTTATGTTTTTATGTTTTTTTTTTTATTTATAAGCCTTCACTTTGGTGTTATCAATGGAAGAGTTTTCAAACGTACATATGTAGGTGGCATTGCACTCGGTTATATAATAGATTTTTTTTTCACCACAAGCGTTGCACAATATTTTAGAGTTAGAGTGTATAATGATTGCTTATCAATCGTTTGCAAGGAAGTTTCTATAATTTTCCTTTTTATTATGGCATGCAATAGTGCAATTTTTACATTTTTCCACAAATTCCTTTGACAAACGCGACAACATTTGTTGCTATTTCTGCTCTTCGCTGCCACTTCACTGCCACACGCGACTGCAATTCGCCAACTGAAAATTGCTCACTTCACCAATTTGCAGCAGCTCCTCCACTAGTCACACCAATCACACTTACATACATATGTACAAGCATACATACTTAGCTGTAGCCGCAATAGATAAATAGAAAAGCCACAGTTAGTACCTACATAAGTACATAACTATATACATCAGTCTATTTGTTGCTCAGTTTTAGTGGTCTGGCGGCGGCTGGTTGACTATTTTATTTATGTATGTTGTCGTATTACTTCATCAGCTCCAACAACAATTGTTTGTATGTATGTATGTGTGCCGGTGTGTTGATTTGTGCGTCTGTATTACAAAATACATAGCTTTGCGCCAACTACACCGCCTTCGTTAGCCATTTTCCGCTGGCGTACCCATAAATTGTGTTACATACATACAAAAGACGCAAATGTAGATTCGTATGTATGCTATATACTAAATATAAACATCTTCCGCAACAACATTTTTGAAAATGTTTAGTTTACCTCTTCCGCTCTGCTTTTTCTTGCCACAGAATTTTTTCCACCATCGTTTTGCAATTCTTGAGAAATCGCGGCTCTTACTCCCCAATGTACATACATATCTTCAAACGCAATTTCTCTGCTCCATTATTATGCTACATAGCTTCGAGCTATTTATTTATTATTCTTCTATTTCCACTTGGCCATTTGTTGCTCAGCAAAACACGCAAGGCAAGGGCCAATGCTTTGACTTTTGGGATAGGTCCATAGTTTGTTTACTTGCGAATGCCCACAGTTGAAACTGCAGCCACTGGCAGTTGGAAATGTATGTGTGTGCATAGCTGTTTATTTTTGTTAGATTCCAAGTACTCGACTGCGTACAATTTTAAGCAGAATGCGGTGAATGAACGCCGCAATTCATTTTACACTTCACAACAGAGAATTTTTCGCACATTGAAGACGACCATTTTCATGCACTGATCTTATCGATATTATTTACTTATGTTGATTGCTGAAATACATACCTATGTACGTACATACAGTATTGGACATATCTATAGCACCCCCCTTTCAGAGCGATATTGTTTGCCACTTATGTTTAATTATTTGTTTTTAAGAATTTTCTATTAAAATACAGTTCATTTTCCAACAAACACCATATAAGCCAATGTTTTAAACATTTTAAAAGACCGCAAAAAAGTGCAACAAACTTTCCCTTAAATTTCAAACTTTTTTCTCAGAAGCTCTAGAATCTTTTTGAGTACACAGTTTTATAGCGCATTCAAGTATGTCCAATAATGTGCAAGTTTCAAATCGCTAAAGATTACTGTTGATTTTTTAGAATTTTTTTTGTCTCATTTGCTTCCATATAACGACTAAACACAATTTATTTTTATATGGCAGAAACCCGCAACATCCTCGGCGAAAAAAATTCTAAAAAATCAACGGTAATTTTTTAGCCACTTGAAACTTGCACATTATTGTACAAAATTGAATGCGCTATAAAACTGTGTATTCAAAAAAATTCTACCGCTTCTGAGAAAAAAGTTTGAAATTTGGGTGAAAATTTGTTGCACTTTTTTGCGGTCTTTTAAAAAGTTTTAAACTTGAATTTATGTGAGTTTTGTGAGAGAATGAACTGTATTTTAATTGAAAATTCTTAAAAATAAATAAATAAACATGAGTGGCAAACAATATCACTTTGAAATGGGGGTGCTATTGTATTGGCCAATACTGTATGCTATGCTTTCGCGAGTAACTCACTTAAATATTTGTGCTGATATAAGTTTGAATTATAACCCAAACAAATAAATAAATCATAACTGGTTCCAGGAAGTTAAAAATAAACTATAATCATTTTCGTAATAAAATGTGCAATTTGGGAATGCATTTAATCAATTAACAGCTGGCTAAAATCGAATAAGTAGGACAACATAAAACATTAATTTGGTCGTATTTACTTGTATTTCTAATTTATAGAGTCCATGTGTGTCTAGCTACCTAGGGAATGGCGAAAGAACAAGCAGCAGCTTTGAACACCTAATTCAGATGCTCTTTCCTGAATGTTCCAACATAAAGTTAGCGAATAACCAACAGATTATTGCCCCAGGCGGGGAATTCCACCTTAGCAATATTTCTTATGGCAGCATTGAGGAAGCTTTGTGCTGCTTTAAACGCTATAAATCATCTGCATTCAATGGCATCCCATTTGTCGAAATTCAGACAACATTGAGCGAAATTATTCTAAGATTAAAATTTAGTAAAAATGCCTTTCAGCCGCTCCTACAAGTCACAGAAATGGACGTAAGTAAAATTTGATGTATACCTAGTTGGCCAATAAGCTTCACGTCCTTCGTACTGAAGTTACTGGAATGCACATAATAAAGGCAAGAATGTGGACACGGCTCTACACAGCCGTCGAAACCATCCGACATCGAACTATCCTGGCATCGCAAACATTTTTTATATCTATCTTTTTGGGCATAGAAGTAGATTTCGACAATATCAGTCCGGAAGCAGTCATCTCAGTAACTTGAATTCTGCAATGTCCTGGTAGCATATGTGAACAACCTCCTCTGGAGATTTTGACTGGGCGCACCCCTCTACAAGTACTTCAGAAGTTAACAGAACGATGATGAGGAGGAAACCATACAATACCCGAAACTAGCAAAACGGAGAGCAAACACTCTTGGCAGTTACTTTTTTGATGAACGCAGAGCAATGGATATTAGAAGCCTATCCACTTTCTTTACTGAGTACTAAGTGGTTTTTGGGTTAAAGGGTTTAACTGTAAGACCCCCGCGGAATCACATTATTTTATATTGTATTACCTCGAAGTACTAATATATACAATGAAGAAAAAATCTGCTTAAAAATAAGTCTCCTATGTGCAAAACTATAAAAGGGAAGTATGCACTTTTTTCCAAAAACAAAGAAGCTCTGCTATCCGAAATGAAATTTATTCACACTCCATAAAGTTATTTATAAATATTTCTATAGACATTTTATAAGCTACTAAATAGTCTTAACGCAACAAATGAATCAGAGTGGATTATAAGATGCTGGAAAGTTCAGCTTTTTTATCTCTCAGCAAATGCATATATCTACAAAGGTTTATGCCTTAAGAAAGGCAGATCAGATATACACTTAATTTTAATGCTACGCCTTATCACACGCTCCTATTGAAACAATGCAAGCAGTTTTGTTGATGTTTACACATTGTTATCTTATTCAGTGGTCTGTCCATAAAAAATGACTCGTAAATGCTACTAATTTTATAAAAGTGAAAGTGGGTGAGTGTGTGAACATGTTGGTTGCCCTTCCACGCTAAAATGGCTGGACGGATTTGAGTAAAATTTGGCACACAGATAGGCTATGGCTCGAGTTTAGATATAGGATATTGTTTGAAGAGAAATGCCACCCTTTTCAACAGTTAAAATCAATTAAGAAGTAAAGTTAATAAAATAATAAACAGTGCAGATTTCAAAGAAAAGGGGTTAAAATGATTCATTTCGAAACAATTTTTTAAGTAGGTTCCAACCTGTTCAAAAAAGTCAAATTAATTTTACTAACAAATTGTTTCGAGTAGGGTGTCAGCCATTTAAAAAATGTCATTCAAGTGAACATTGGCAAAGTGGAATATTTCGTCTTTACATAAAAGATAAATTATATATACCTACAGCCCGCGACAAGTGATAGCACATCAACATTTTTACCACTTTTGAAATCTTTTCTTTTCCTTTTTTTAAGGTTCAGCGGACTCAAGCTCAATAAAATTGTTGAATATAACTGTTATAAGGCCATAAAAAACAAACAGGTTTATTAATTTTTTATTAAAGTTCAGCTCTTTATCTCCCAAAAACGATGTAAGTCCCAATATCAAACTTTGTAGAAAAATTTAAAAAATTCCACAAATATTTCATCCTTATCCCAAGTGTTTTGATTAGAATTTCTAAATTAATTTTATGCAGTTGTATGGCTTATTAAAATCCCTTATAATAAAGTGACAGTTTGAAGTTGCTTAAAAATCTCATTGATTTTTGAGAATTTTTTTTTCTGACGCCGTTATGCACTCTTTTCCATACAAAAAATTACTTTGCATGGAAGAAAATGCGTCCGTCAGAAAAAAAACATTATCAAAAATCAACGCGACTTTTTAGGAACTTCAAACTTGCACTTTATCTTACTAGAATTTAATCTTATTACATTAAACGAGCTTACCAAAAGTTATTCTACAAATTACAATTAAAATGCGTGGAATTGGGATGAAAAGTTTGTGGAATTTTTATAATAGGGAAAAGTGTTAAAAATGTTGAGGTGCTACCGTTTCGCCGCGGACAATTTTTTCTTTTAAATTGGCACCGTGTGAAATTAATTTGCAAAATCTATATAAGTTGTGTTTTTAACTGGCCAATTCAGTTGAAATTCGAACCGCCTTTTATGTGCCTTCTCGTTGAGTTCAGTCTTTAACCTGTCTGATCCAACCAAACTAATTTACTTGAAATTTTTATTCGAGAATAATTCATTCAATGTCCAGACCAATAATTAAAACAGAGCTTGATCGATATTTATAAATGAGAACGCAATTTAATTCGAATATTTCCTATGCCAACGCCCTATTCAAATTCACACAAAACCACTGCACCCGGCACACATTTGCTATCCTCCCATTCAGTGTCAGCCATTTGTCGCAAGCTCAATTTCGCGTACCAAATCAAATGCCAGCCAATACAGAGCAAGCATCTTGAGTCACGAAAAACATATTTAATTACGAACTAAATAATGAACGATAAACAAACTCGTATCGCAAATGCCACCAAGTTATTAGTTAGTTAGATTTTGTTTATGATTATTTATTGCCCGAGGAAGCCGTGCTCCTCAAATGCCCATCGCAGTGTCACTTGGGTTAAATATTTAATGCTTATCAGCTGGCGTGACAAGCGCGCTTACGCTGAGACGAGACGCTCAAAATAACAGCAACAGCAAAAACCATAACTTTGAGATTAAACAACAAAAGGAACAGCGACGTTTGAATGGCAACACGAGCGTGAGGAGATAACTCTTTTGTGCATGTGTTTGTGTGTGTGCAAGTATGATTGTAACACCCGAGGTATTGCGGAGGCGCGCAGAGTTATGGCGACCAACGCCGGCAATACTGATAAGATTCTATAAAATTTTCTGGCTTACAATACAGAGGTTAATATAAACAAAGTGCGACTTATCTCTGTTGTTGTATTTTGCATACAACAAATCAGTTAAGGCATACATGTACATACATAATTTATTAATTTAAAAAAAAACTACACGGAACTTAAAAAAATACAGCATCAAATTATGTTTTTATTAAAACGCAGTAAATCATCCGCGCGTGCGTCTGGCGAACTGCGGCTCCCATCGTCATCTTTTCAGATGCTGGCTAGCCCTCAGGGCTTCTCTGCTTCTTCACCATTTGCACCCTCTGCACCACCGCAGCCACAAGCGGCCGACTTCTTCTCGTTTTGTTTGCTGTCTTCGTTACTTTTCGATTCGTTTGACTCATCGGCGGCCCGTTTGGATTTGCCACAACCACAATCTTCGGATTTCTCACCATCTTTGTCATGTTTCTCATCACTTTTCTTGCTAGAGCTGGTTGTGTCACGTCGTCGTTTCAGCTGGGTTAGAGGTTCGGTTGCCTCAGATGATTCGTTAGCATCTTCAAATAGTTCATCGGTTGATTCGCGTGTAATATCCTCCTTGCTTTGCTCAGAATTAACCACAGCAGCATTTGATAATTCAGCACTCTCATCACTTTCCACCGAACGTTTGCGCCTGTCTTCAAAGTAAGTTGTCTCGTTTGCTTCATCCGAATCCGCATCCATAACCTCACACCCCTGCACGTAATCTTCTAAAGATGAATCTTTTTTCGATTCAATTACTTCATTGTCTTCGCTATTTTCGGTAGACTCCGAATCGATTACCACGTCACCATTTGAATATTCTTTACTCTCCACAGAAATCGTATTCTTTTCGACTTTTCGTTTTCGACGTGCACCATCTGATCCCTTAGCCGGTTTGTTATCACCTTCGCCTCCGTCAGAGCCTTTTTTGCCCTTCTCTTCAGATGAGTCTTCCTCTGAAGAACTGTCATCGGCTTTCCG